GCACAATGGGGGCTCCTGGTCCATGACTGAGGTGCCTAGGCGCTACCATAATACAAATAATATCGCCACCTTACAGAACTGAGGCCCAGAGAGGCTAAGTGACTTGCCCAAGGTCACAAAGGATGACTCTAGTGGAGCAGGGAATCAAACCTGGGTCTCCCAAAGCCCAGGTTAGCTCCCTAACCGCTTGGCCATCCTTCCTCTCTGTTCCCCGGGTGTTAGGCATGTGCATACGCCTCAACAGGATCGGAGCCTAACTAATGACAAAATCGGAAAGCAGGAAAGTGACGACACTCAAAATACAAACAAACAGAGAACTCTTGGCATTTTCTCAGTTCTCTTTCAGACATGCAGATCTCAGGGGCCGGTTGAAACCTCTCCAGGCACATCTAGATGTGACTTGTTAGCAGAGCCGGGTGAACGTTGTCAGACAAATAATTTATTCAATGAAAGATGCGATATTGGTTGATCAGAAACTGTTGGCAAATTTGTTGCGAGTAGTTTTGGCCATTCATAAAATCAGGGGGTGGGGGGGGAAGGGGAGCTGCTGCCGCCACCACTAGCACCCCCATAATGCCCAGCTCGGTGGTTACAGCACGTAGGAGAGCCAGGTACAAATTCCCGCTCTGGAACAAACCCCAGACAAACTTTTACGATTCAACTACAAATTCCAGATTCGGTTTGACCCAGGCCGAATTTGTTTTCAATTTTTCAGAACTGCCACCAAACCAAAGGGGGAACAAAACAAAACAGTTATTCTCCGGGCTCTGTTTGCAATTCCTTCTGTGCTCACCTGCTCGCTGTCCGCGTGCTGCCCCCTGCTGACGGGATGGTAGAAGTCCAGCAGCGTGTGTGATCCCAGGCTGATGGTGGTGACGGTGGGGAAGTACAGAGGTCCATCTTCATGAGGCTAGAGGGAGCTGGCATGTCAGACTAAAAAGGGAAGGATCACACACACACACACACACACACACACACACACACACACTCCCTCCCCCAGCTCTCCTCTCCAGTACCAAGCATGAAATGCAGAAAGACACGGCTCTAAACACCAAAGACACGTGGACCAACCCATCACACGCAGGCCCTGCTGCTGAGAAGATGCCTCTCTGACGTCGCCAACCTTTGTAGCCAGCGCACATGGCAAAGCCAGGAGTGTGGGCGGGGTGTACATGCCCTAGGCTTGCATGTCACTGGTGCTCATGCTCCATTCCCAAGATAAAAAACACGGCTGTGGAAGCAATCTGCTCTCTCAAAGCGAGGTCGGGCTATCGAAAGGTGTTGGGATTAAGAGAAGACATTGGTAGCCGGGAGTCCTGACACACAGCCCCCCTGCTCTAGCCACTAGACCCAACTCCTTTCCCAGAGCTGGGGACAGAACTCAGAAGTCCTCACTCCCACCCCGCTCCCATGTGCTAACCACTAGCCTCAACTCCTTTCCCAGAGCCAGGGATAGAACCCAGGAATCCCAACTCCCAAGCCGCCCCCGTGCTAACCATCACTCTCCTGGGAAAACCTAGTCTTGTCTATCTAGACTCCATCCCCCTTAAATCTCCAGCCAGCAGGAGTTGCCACTGCTGCAAGACTTGCCCCCACAGACACGCCTCTGATCAGGTCAGGTTCTGCGTCTGCCCCTCCTCCTTTGCCCCCACAGGGCAGGAGCCACCCTGAAGTTGAGTAACGGAGCAGCTGGCCCGTGGGTAGTTACCATGATCCCCTGCCCCGGGAGGTACTCGTTCACCAGCACGTGGTTCGCCAGCTTCCCTCCAAACGCTCCGAGGGAGGAGATCTTCTCGGCATAGCTCTGAAGCCAGGCGGGCAGCTTCTCCGGTACCATCCCTTTGGCATGGGGCAGCCCTCCTGGGAGGCAGAGAATACAGAGAGGAGCTGGCGATGAAAGAGATCCAGCTAGGCGATCCATGGTTGAAAAGCACTAAGCAAGTGTTATGCGACATCCCCCGCCCACCCCACTGGGCTGGGCAGGCCGTACTCCAGAGGTTCAGACAGGCTTGGTTTAAGCACCTCTCCCTCCTTCACGCCTGCAACCAGCAAATCCCTAGCTCCCTAGATCAGCAGATCTCAAAGCGCTTTACAATTTGCACACGGGGAAACTGAGGCACAGAGCAGCCAAGTGACTTGCCCAAGGTCATCCAGCTGGCCAGCGGCAGAGCCAGGAACAGAACCCAGCTGTCTCGAGTCCCTGCTTAGTGCTCTATCCTCTAGGTCACTCCGCTTTCCCCTCTTGGTTGTCACTTAGGCGCTCCAGCCCCTGGATCATTTTTACTACGCTCCTCTGAACTCCCTTCCAATTGGTGCCCAGAACTGAATGCAATTAGCCTATTTATTAGGTATATTACGGTAGCACTGTGGTGCCCCAGTCATGGACCAAGCCACCATTGTGCCAGGCGCTGTACAAACCCAGAACAAAAAGAACAGTCCCTGCCCCAAGGCGCTGACAAGCTAAGTAACATCCCTGGGTCCATTTACCCCAGATCTGACTCTCAGCTCCCCGGCCCGGTCACATTTTGGGGTGTATATGCACCCCCCCCCCCCCAAAAAAAACCGCAAAATCCCCTTTTTCATTTACACGAGGAGAGGCTTCTGCAGGAGATCCAGATCCGGCCACACCAGTTACAGGAAAGTGGGGATACCAATGGCTCAGACAGCAGCAAAACCCTTAGACCTTAGGAGGGGCCTGGGTTACCTGACTTGATGGATGTCGAGCTGTCCTTGAACAATAAACATGTCCTTGGGGAAAGGGACTGAAAACCAACACCGGCGGGAGCTTCATTGCCAGGGAGCTGGCCTGGGGCCTTGCATGAGGGTGGGGGAAACTGAGGCAGGGTCCGACGCCAGGTTTGGGGAGATCTTGTCTCCTCAATCCTGCAGCCAGCCAGCTCAGGTCACTCACCAGCCAAATGACATTCCTTCCCTCCCTGATGCAGGCTGCTCTGCGCGGTTTCCAAAGGACAAAGCTGACATCCTGCGCTGAGCCCAGACTAGACCTCGGTGGGAGCGAATTCCCCAGTTCCATGCACTAACCGGTCCCTGGTGCAGTGGGTGGGGGTCACCTGGGGGCCACAAGCCTGAGCGCCAGCGATGGGGCTGGAGAGAACTCACCCCAGTTCTGCAGCTTTCTTCCAGACAGCTGGGTCCACTTGGGTTTGGGGGCAGCATAAACCTGAGGGGGCGAACGCAGGGACGGGCTGAGAGGCCGGAAAGCTTTGCTTGAGGGGAAGAACATTACAGAGAAACGGTACGGGAGGCACAAAAGTATTATTTACATTAGCGCCTAGGGAAAGAGACCATCCCTGCCAGGCAGAGCTTATAATCTAAACAGACAAGGCAGACAAAGGGCACGAGGGGAAACTGAGGCTCTGAGGCTAAGTGACCCACCCAAGACCTCACAGGCAGTCTGTGGCAGAGGAGGGAATTGAACCAGGGCCCAGGCTAACGACCAAGGGGCATCACATTATACGAGCCTGTCCAAGGGGCGGGGGGGAGGGGAGGGGACAAAAGCAGAAAAGTACGGATGGGCCTGAAGCACAGGGAGTGGGCGATGGGGCCCAGAACTCTGAATGTTTAGAGGAAGGCTGGCCCTGTGGTTAAGCCCTGGTGGGGACTCAAGAGATCCAGGTTCAATTCCTGTCTCCGCCACAGACCCTGTGGGCAAGGCACTTTCATGCTTATATCTGTAAAACAGGCATAACAATCCGTCCTGCCTAGTGAGGCTGCAAGGTCTTTGGGGCAAGGGCTGTCATTCACTCTGGGTCTGTGCAGCGCCTAGCACAATGGGGCTCTGATCTCGGTTGGGACCTCAAGGTGCTCCCATAACACGCATCATGAACTTAAGTTCTCTGCTGGTCCTACTACATTGGGGGCGGGGGGGTGTCATGCAGATGCCAGATCTACAAAAGCTGCGTCTGTCTGTGCACTCGGGGTCTGGGACCGAGATCTCCGTTGCAGAGAAGTGACGCTAACAGACAAACCGCCTGCTTTTATCCGAGTCAGCCAGGAAATTCTTCACTGCAAGAGCAGCATCCGCCAAGCGCTGCACTCGCTTCTTGTGCCATGGGAATAATAAACCTGAATGAAAATCTCACATACCTGGTGCAGCAGATAGGTCTCCTCCGACTTCGAGATGAAGTTTGGAACATAATAGACAGTTGGCGGAACCTGCAATTAAAACATACTAATAACACCACCACCGACTATTCATCAGTAGATCTCAAAGCACTTTACAAAGGGGGTAGGTATCATTATGCTCAGTTTCCCAGACTGGGAAACTGAGGCACAGAAAGGGGACATGATTTGCCCGAGGTCACCCCGAAGGCCAGTGGCCAACCCAGGAACAGAAGCCTGGTCCCCCAAAGTCCCAGTGCAGTGCTCTATCCACTAGGCCATATGCCACCCCTGCAAAACTCTGTGCAACGAGTTTGCTGGGTCTCAGCAGGACAGGTGCCCCTTACACAAAACCACCAGTAGGATCCATGCTAATTGCCCTTCCAGTCCTGCCACCCATCCCAAAGGTGAGGGCCACGTCAGCAGAGAACCCAATGGCTGTACGCACCTCGCAGCCAGAACTCCCTTCCCAACCCACAGAATGGGCCTCCCTCCAGGGCAAGGGAAGGGAGAAGTTTAATGTTATTATGTCTATGACAGCAGTATCTAGAGCACTAGCCGAGACCGGGGCCAGGTGCTGCCCAGACACAGTAACCGAGACCTCCCTCCTCACTAACATCCCTCACAACGACAGCATGGCCGCCTGCCTCATAGATCTACAAGACAATGGACAAAACTGAGATACCCACCCCCATCGGCAAACTCATCCACGTCATCCTCACCCTTAACCATTTTACATTCAACACCACTTTGTCCAGACCATGGGCACAGCTCTGGGTACTAGGATGGCTCCCCAATACGTCAATGTCTTCATGGGCCACCGTGAGGAAGATTTTCTTGACAAAGGCACCACAGAACCAATGATGTACCTGAGACACACCAATATTTTCATCCTTTGGGCAGACGACCTGACCTCCCACACAGATTTCCATCACAACATCAACCATCAAACTGCAGAACACTCCTGCACCAGTATCAACTTCCCGAATGCCATGATCCACTTCATTGATGGAACCCTACAGACAACTATCTACAAGAAACCCACGGATCAACACATCCGCCTTCTCAGATCCTGTAAGCACCACAAACACACCAAGAAATCGGTTCTCTCTGTAGTGAGGCCCTCAGACACCACAGAATAAGCTCCAAGGAGAAAGTCCGGGATACACACCTTAACATGCTTAAAACCACCTGCACCGAACAAGGACACTCCACCAGAGAAGTAGATCGTATCCTGGAACGGGCCACCCAAATATCCCAAGAGAACCTGCTTCAATACAGAACAAAACCCCCTCCAACCGTACCCCTTTAGTTGTCACCTATCAACCCACACTGGAACCCCTACAGGGTAACACTAAACAATTCCAACCCATACTCGACGGGGATCACAACCCGAAAGAAACCTTGGCCAAATCCCCTCTTCTGGCTTTCACCCCAACCTTGCCAATTCAGAAGCAAGTTCCCCCCAGACCAGAACCCACCAACTCAAAGAGGCACCAGACCATACCAGAACAATAGATGCAAAACCTGCAGGCATATCTCTACTGCTATATTCCCTCCCACCCCAACACACCTTTCAAGGCCCATGGTTCTTACACATGCCCCAACAACTAAGTGAGTAAAACCAGACGATCACAACTCTCTCGAATGAACACTAGGGTTTTGCACCAGTGCAAAACAAGCAGATAAAACCCCCAGTTCCCCCTCCTGCCACTTCCCGGCTACATTCCGTGCCTGGTTACCTGCTCTACACAAAACGTCTCCAGCTCCAGGATCTTGGCACTTGGCTCCTCCATGTCAAAAAAGGGGCCTGCGATGGCTGGAAGGTCCAGTCTTCTGGGTCCCCCTCCTGGAACCGTTGCAGATCCATGGAAAGGAAGCAGAGGAAGCACCATTACCTACCCGAGAGCTAGCCAAGCGCACACTGCAAACAGAAACGAGACCATCAGGGTCTCCAAGCTGCAGGGAGAGCTCCAACAGGAATGGTTGGCACTCTGCAACAGTGGCTCTCAACCAAGGGTACACGTACTCCTGGGGAACGCAGAGATCTTCCAGGGGGTATGTCAACTCATCTGGATCAGTGTTTCTCAACCTGGCGGTCATGCCTCCCCAAGGGGTCACAGGACAGGATTTAGGAGTTTTCAAGTGCAGGGCCAGCATTAGGGGGTGGCAAGCAGGGCAACTGCCCAGGGCCCTATGCCACAGGGAGCCTGTAAAGCTATATTACATGCTTCAGCCCCGGGCAGCAGAGCTCAGGCTTGACTCCTGAAAGGGGTACAGTAGTCTGGAAAGATTGAGAACCACTGATCTACAGCACACACAGGCTTTAGCATTGTGAATGGACCAACCCTTGCAGTCCCCACTCTGCTTATGGGCAGGGTTAGCCTCACCTTACGTACAGGGAAACTGAGGCAGGGAGAGAGGAAGCAACTTGTCCTAGGGTCAAATGGGCAGAGCCAAGAACAGAACCCAAGAGTCCTGACTCCCAGGACAACTAACCTCTGAACCCCACTCCTCCTCCCACCCTACCAGAGGTAGGAACAGAACCCAGGAGTCCTGGCTCCCAGCCCCCCTCAACAGGGAGAGAACCCAGGAGTCCTGGCTCCCAGCCCCCCCTCACCAGGGAGAGAGAGAACCCAGGAGTCCTGGCTCCCAGCCCCCCCTCACCAGAGAGAGAGAACCCAGGAGTCCTGGCTCCCAGCCCCCCCAAGCCAGGGAGAGAGAGAACCCAGGAGTCCGGGCTCCCAGCCCCCCTCACCAGGGAGAGAACCCAGGGGACCACCGGGCGAGTCGCAAAGGCTCACGGGAAAAGCGCTCCTCTGCGGACCCACTCCCCCA